GACTACAGGTTTGTTTTAAACTTCTTTTTCTTCTTCCTTTTTTTTTTTTTTCTAATTTTAATTTGCAGTGATATTTGTATTTCTTATTGACTCGAGCCATAAATTAACCCTTGCAAACAAATTCTTTTTTATTTATGTATACTCTTTTATATAGCAATGCATTTAATTTGAAGGCATCTCAAAATCTTACTCAAATTTTGATTTAAATTTTAATTTAATCTAGGCTAAAAATAAGTTTTAGTCTTTTACTCAAATTCATATTAAAGGAAAAGAGACTCAATTTTTAAGAGAAACTCAAATATCTATTCAAAATTTTAATATAAGTTTTATTCTCTTTTAAAAATTTAATAGTCATATTTTATTTTATTTTTAAATTTGAGTTTACCCTTATTTATTGAAATCGAACATTTTACTTAAATGTTATTTAAATTTAAGTCTAAGTCATAGATTAACACTAAGTTTCAGTATCGGATGAGATATGCCACTAATCCCTTGACAAATTCCATGAAGTCCCAAATTACTTAAGTACAAATAATTTTATGGTCATCTTTTTTTTTTAATGGACTATATTATGATTTTTGGTTGGTTATTAAATGTTATATAATATGAAATTGATATTACAATGTGACATCCCCAGGTTAGCACCAGAACACCCTCTACCCATAGCTTATGAGGATTCATGGGGTGCTCTTCAATGGGTGGCATCACATTGTGGTGGACAAGGCCCTGAGGCCTGGCTTAACGACTACGCCAATGTCCGGAGAGTTTTTCTCGCGGGAGATAGCGCCGGAGCCAATATCGCTCACAACATAGCAGTGAGAGCCGGGGTTGAAGATTTAGCAGGAGTGAAGCTGTGTGGAGTTTGTTTGGTTCATCCAGATTTTGCTAGCAGAGACGGGTATGTGACTAAGACATGGCTTTTTGCATGTCCAGGTACAACCGGGTCGGAGGACCCAAGGATTAACCCAGCTGTGGATCCGAATTTGCCACGCTTGGGGTGCACCAAGGTGATGCTGATTGTTATTTTTATTTTTGTGCTTAAAATTTTTAAATAAACAATAATTTTTTTGTTTTAACAAAAAGAACACAACCAGCAAATCATAATTCTTGAACATCAATCATCAGAAATGGTCACAACTTTTATAAATAGTCACAGCTTTTAGAGGGTGGTGATGATTCATCTTTTAGGAGAGTGGTGATGATTCATTTCGTGATGTTTTGTACGGGTGCGATTTTGTTTAAAATAGACTTCATCCACTTAGTTTGATCATTCTAAATTATAGTGAATAAAATCAGTAAGAATTCTTTTGAATATTTTGCGCGTTTTATTGAAAGGCAATCGATGATTTATTTGAGTCGATGGATTTCTTGTTCTATTCAACATCAATAAGTCTAGTTTGGTTTACTACGTAAACCAAGAAAACAGCAGTATTCTAAAATAGGTGTCTTTCATAAAATGCATTCAACTGATTTTTTGGGTTCTAATTTTCTCTTATTATTATTATTATTATTTTGTTAATTCTATTTAAATTAGCTTACTTTTGTTGATTTAGAGGCCATTATAATGAATTGTAAATTATTATTTTTACAACAGGTAGTGGTGTGTGTGGCTGAGAAGGATGGGCTGAGAGAAAGGGGTTGGTTTTACTATGAGACCTTGAGGAAAAGTGGATGGGGTGGTGTGGTGGAGATTATAGAGACACAAGGGGAAGAGCATGTGTTTCATTTGTTTAACCCAACTTGTGAGAAGGCTGTGACTTTGTTGAAGAGGTTGGCTTCTTTAATGAATGAGGGCTAAGGACATGTGGCTTCTTCCCTTTATTTTTCAATTTTTTTTGCTGAGTTGTGATTGAATGGGTATTGTTCAGGGCCAAGGAAACTGGGAACCTGTATTTAGACTTGTGTGTCTCGTTTTTCTTCTATGTACCGGTGGCACAACAACAATCGTCAGATGTTAATGAAACCGACCGATTCAACCATCTCAATAGATTAATATAAAAAAAAAAAAAAAAAAAGACAATTGTCATTGTTTTCTTTAAAAATCACAGAATCCTTGAAGTGGAACTTGAGTCATTTTCTTCTTACCCCCCCAAAAAAAAAAAATTCCTTTTAGTCCTTTGAATTGTTTGTCAGATATAGAACAAATATCAATGCCTTGTTTTTCTTCCACAGGAACAGTGGTATATCAAAACTAGAGGTCTGTTTGGATTGTATTCCAAAAACAATTTTTTGTTCTCAAACAATTAAAAACTAAAGAGATATTGTTTGATTAGAATTTACCTAAAACAATTTTTTAAAAAAAGTGAGAACTTAGAAGAAAAAGTAGAAATCAAGGCTGACATGGTTTGTCCAATTTTTGGAGAACTGATCCTCAAAATTGTGAAAACATGGGAAACTATTTGCTCATTAATGAGATCTCATCTTCAAACCTCTTAGCAGTAAAACAAGTCTTATTATAAGAGGTTTTTTTACCCTTTCTCTTCTCTCTCCCCGACTTTCTCTCTCTCCATTTCGATGAAGTTAGACGGAAGGAGAACGTGCACACACAGCGTCTTCTCTAGTGATTTGGATCATCCTTCTCACAACATTATCTTCTTAGGACGTACGCATACGAAAAGTAAGGGTGAGCCTTTTTTCTCATCGAAATTACACGGAAAATAAAATAATACAATTAAAACATTTAAATATAGTGCTCACGACACTGCCTTGTATGCATCACTTCTCTAACACCACTTGATGTAATACAATCAGAGTCGTTGAATATTTAATAAATTTTGTGGAACTTATTAATCTAACGGTCTATATTAAGATGGTGGGTATAAAAGAGGTTAAATTTCACTGACACCCCTTAGATTTAAGTCATATTTTATTGACACTTGTCTAGTTTTTGAAATATTACTGTACACCCTTGTAGTTTATATATACACATTTTACAAACTACCCTTGCTGTGATATGATTGTTTATTCTTTTTATGAATTGCTAAATTTACCCTTGGTCATCTATACTAATAAGTTTAAAGTAGTAGTAAACATCATTTTAATATTAATTGAATTAAATTAAATACTAATTGGATTAAATAGAATGTTTCCTACAAAAAAAATGTATCAAAAAAATGTTAATTTGGTGTTAATTTTAAAAAATAATATTAATTTGATAAACAATTCAAACAATTGAATGTTAATTTTATAAAATTGAATGAAGCTATCTCACCGAGGTCCGATTAGTCAACCTATGCTAAGTATTGTTAAAACGGATGGAAAATCACCATTAGATATTTGATTTTATGAAATTGAATGTTAATTTGAAATTTAATCAAAAAAATGATGTTAGTTTGATAAATTGAATGTTAAATTGATGAAATTAAATGTTAATTTGGAGTTAATTTAATGAAATTAATATTGATTTGATGTTAATTTTATGAATATCGATTTGATCAGATTGAATATTAATTTGCTGAAATAAAATGATAATTTTATAAAATTTAAGATCAATTTTATGTTAATATGGTAAAATCTAGTATTAATTTGATGAAATTTAATGTTAATTTGATAAAACTGATAGTTAATTTAGTGTTAAATAAATCCAATTTTATATTAATTTGATGAAGTTTAATGTGATTTTGATAAAATTGAATGTTAATTTGGTGTTAATTTCATGAAATTGAATATTAATTTGGTATTAGTTTAATAAAATTGAATATTAATTGGATGAATTGAATGCTAATTTGATGAATGTGAATATTAATTTGGAAATTTTTAATGTTAATTTGATAAAATTTAATGGTAATTTGGTGCTAATTTGATAAAATTAAATATTAATTTTTGTGTTAATTTGATAAAATTAAATATTAATTGGATAAAATTGAATATTAATCAAACAAAATTAAATGTTAATTTGATAAAATTATAGATTATTTTTGTATTAATTTGAATAAAGGTAATTAAGTAAAATGAGAGTTCTAATAAGGGTAATTTAGTAAAATGAACAAAAAAGAAATGCTAAGAAAATATGACTTAAATTCAGGAGATGTTAATAAAATTTACGCTATAAAATATTAGTATGCATAGCATTATTGAAAATTGAAACTTCTAGTTTATTCATACGTAGGTAGGACCATTAGGATTGGGATATCCTCATATCAAAATCAAATCTTCTTCAACAACTCCATGTCCTTTTCAAGATTTTTAATTTACATATTTGTCAGATGGGATGGGTAAAGGTTGAATATATTATCCTATCAATATCTGCATTGAAAAAAAGAGTAATATTATTAAAAATTAAAAATTAATTTAATTTATTAATATAATGATACACAAAATGATAAAATTCCGATAAAAAAGTTCAATAGTTGTGGACTTATAGTCATATGATAATTCTTTTGATCTGTATCATTTGTCATATTATCAAATCAACAAATTAAATTAAAATTTAAGATTTCAATAACATTAACTTGAAAAAAACTTGTGGGCCACACAATCTAATGCCAAAAATGTCAATGCCATGAAAAGCATTCAATGTTGGATGCACTCTGAATTTTTTTTGACAAAAAGTGGAGTGTCTTTCGTGGTAAAAAGTTTTTGTAATGACTTTTTTATACACTTATTCCTTTGATAAAAAGAGAGGAGATGAGTTTGAAATTCACAATTATTTAGGAGTAAGAGTAAGTCTTTATAATTGGGCGACTCCCTCACCTCAAATAAGGTTTCGTAATAAGGATTATTAGCCACGAGTTAAAAAATACAATCAAGTAACAATTTATAGTCTTTCGGATAATTTTTTAGAGACTTAAAAAATTGACTAAATACTTCAACATAGTAATCTAGTATGACAAACAACAAGATCCTAATATAAAATAGTTCAACAGTTATAATTAAAATTTGAAGTCAATATTTTAAGTTTATATCGCAATCACGAGTCGGAAAAACATATCATTACATCCATTTTGTTTTAAAAAAAAAAAAGAAGAGATACAACCAAGAAAGTAGACCAACGTTAATCACTAGGCTTTGTCCTGATTAAAAAAAGAAGCCAATTTTTTCAGCTTAGCTACAGCATTTTCACAAGTGGGATTAAACAAATGAAAAACATGCTCTTCCCCTTTGGCTTCCATAACCTCAACCTTTCCTTTCCACCCACTTTTAACCAATACCTCCTTGTAATACCAACCCCTGTCCTTCAATAAATCTTTCTCAGCAACACAAACCAGAACCCGGTTGCAACCCAAGCTAGAAAGTTTGGGATTGGCAGCCGGGTTAAACAACGGGTCATCAGACCCAACAGTCGACGGATTCACAAAGCGCCACAAGTTTTCGACGTAAGATTTCTTGGGAGAATTGGTTTCATTGCCTATTGGCTTTTCACCCCAAAAGAATGCATGGGCTAACACCAATCCGACAAGACTGATACCATCTAATTTCTCCGACCCGACTCGCATACCCATGTTGTGTGCTATGTTTCCACCAGCACTATCTCCACTAAAAAACACACGTTGAAAATCAACATGATCCTTTAGCCATGGTTCCTGACCATCTCCTCCTGAATGGGAAGCAACCCACTTGACGGCAACCCAAGAATCGTCGTACGCTGCCGGGAGATGGTGCTCCGGTGCTAGCCTATAAACAGTGAAGGTGTTAATCGAATAGTGTGGTGTGTGCTGTGATGGAGTCATGTTATGGTCTATGCCCCCTCAATTTTTTAAAATTATGCTTTGGCCCTCTAAAATTCCTTAAGCTTTCAAAGTAAGTTTTATACCTCTAAAATGATGCTTTGATTTCATTTTACATGACCCTCTATAGTTTTAAATTTATATTTTATACCTTTCCAATTTGATCTTGATTGTCTTTCATGCATTGACTATTAATTTGAATACATTTGTCCAACTTTTTAGTAATATGTAGAAAAATGATAAAATTTAATTCTGCTCGAGTGATTATGAGATAAATAAAAAATTTAATTATAATTGAACCGATCATTTTCAAGTTCGATTATTATCGAATTCTAGATAAAGGTTAACATTGATGCTCTTACCTGTAATTCACAGACACCACCACGATGTTTGCTTCTGCGGCAAGTGAATTAAGATAGTTATGGTAGAGTGGAGAAAAGGCGCTTTCGATGATAAAGCCACCGCCGTGAAAGTAAACAAGGAGAGGAAGTTTGTGATGTGGATCGGCGGTTTTGGTCAGGTAAAGTCTTGCTCCGATACCGATTTCCGATGCGATTTTGATGTCTTTCGATTGAACTCCGGTGATAGGATCCACTGATGCCGGGACGACGTCGTTGCCAGTAAGTCTCTCGACTCGACCATCTTTGTAGACTCGCATGAGGGGAGAGAAATCATGGACTATTTCGGTTGTACTTGAAGCCATGGCGAAGAGAATGAACAGAGAAAAAGAGGTGTTAAGGGCAGAACTCTTGTTGGAAAAGATGGACTCTATATATATTATAGCTTGTGTGTGTGTGTGGGAGAGAGGGAGAGAGAGAGAGAGAGAGAGAGAGAGATAGATTCATTTGTAACTGAGGTGTATATTGTTTAATTATCTTACAGCCACACCAGTTTTTCCATTTTAAGGTCGCAAATTCCAACTTTTTCTTCTCACGTAGTGTTGAGTAAAACAAAAAATGAATGGGACCAATTCTTTGGTCCCCAACTTGGACTGTATCTATAAATTTTATTAATTTAAGTGGTATTTTTATAAGTTATTTTACAACAAAAAAAATTACATTTTTTGTAAGTGTTTTTATCGCTTCTGTAATAAAAACACTTAAAAAAAGTAGCAAAAATATATACAAAAGTAATAAAATTATAGATGAGAGAGAGAAATTCATTTGAACCAGATGTATATGTGTTGTTGGACCGTTAGTTTGGCATTTTAGATATAATTATCCTACCTGCCTGTAAAATGGTGCACAACGAGTTTGAATCCTATGAAATTAGAGCTTGATGATGATCAGTAAAGTCACTAACATGGATCTAAGGTCGTACTAATAATATTTATATGATTTTTATAGTATATTCACCACATGGAATAGTGTAAGAATTCCTGCTTCGAGATTAAGTCGAATTATACATTTTCTACTCCGACTGATCCTATTATATGCATGAACAAGAATGATTCTAAACAGGTACGACTTTCCCCTAAACTACCAACTCAAATGGTTATCAAGCAAGCTTATCACTACACCACCCTTACATTTAAAGTCCCTTTTTTACCATTACCAAGAACGTATTTCAATTCCATACCATAACCAATTCGAACAATTGCTACAAATAGTGTATTTAAGAATTACAACTTGTGAAACTTCAATAACCATAAGCTTATTAGTCAAGTGTCAATTTATACATATGATACACACAATCGCTACACGAATAATTTGATAGTGACACGATATACATGTTTAATTGTTATAATATGAAAAACGTTTCTCTACAATAATTGTAAAAATATTTGCTTCAACAACGAGCAAGATAAAATATCATAATAAATTAGAGAAAAAAGTATTTCAACAAGAAACTCGATAACTATAGTTTGTAGGTGTTTACACGTCTTTCGAGTTCAATTTATATGAATCCATACTAGTAAGTGGATTCCCATTATTGAAGGTTTACTTGGGATATGAAAAGAAAAGACTTACAAGAAGATAACCACTAGGCTTTGTCCTGATTCAAAAAAGAAGCAACTCTTTTGAGCAAAGCCAAAGCATTTTCACAAGTGGGATTAAACAAATGAAAGACATGGTCCTCCCCCTTGGCCTCCATAACCTCTACCTTTCCTTTCCACCCTCTTTTGTCCAATAGCTCCTTGTAATACCAACCCCTATCTTTCAATATATCTTTCTCAGCAACACAAACCAGAACCCTCGTACACACTAGGCTTGAAAGCTCCGGATTGAGAGCCGGGTTCAGAAACGGGTCATCCGAACCAACTGTCAACGGGTTCACTAACCGCCACAAGTTATCGACGAAGGCTTTATTGGGGAAATTGGATTCAGCAGCTTCATTGCCAATTGGTTCTTCACCCCAGAAGAATGGATGGTTTAAAACCAACCCGACAAGATTGATACCTTCCGGTTTTTCTGACCCGACCCGCATGCCCATGTTGTGTGCTATGTTACCACCTGCACTATCTCCTCCGAAGAATACATGTTGGGGGTCAACATAGTCCTTCAGCCATGGCTCCTGGCCATCTCCTTTGAAATGGGAAGCAACCCATTGGATCGCGACCCATGAATCTTCGTAAGCTGCAGGGAGAGGGTGCTCTGGGGCAAGCCTGTAAACATTAAAATTGTCAATCGAGATGTGTCGCATTATTTTTATATCTATTTACTTTGACTAGTATCATTTCAATTTCATGCCGTATCCCATTTACATCAAAAATAAAAAATAAAAATTCTTATTTTCTAAAGATATTAATATGTTATTTGTATTAATACCAATAAAAATAATAATATTATTTAGATCTAATATACTGATTTAATCTAACATAACCATTAAATTGATTGCGTATTCTAATAAATATTGAGTCAAGGTCTAAGTAACGTTAGTCCTAATGAAAAAATCTACCCATAGTTTCATTTTCGAGTTGATTTGGTATGAGTTTGTGTTATAAAGTTAGAACAATATTATAGAAATCTAATTTATGGATCTAATTTAATACAATTATTGAAATAATCATGTATTTTAATGGCGGATGAAACTAACCTTTCATAAATGAGTAAATACTACGTAGACTTATAAAGTTGACATCCTTACCTGTAATTCACAGAAACTACAACAACGTTTGCTTCTGCGGCAAGTGCGTTAAGATGGTTATGGTACGTTGGAGAGAAGGCGCTTTCGACGAGAAAGCCTCCGCCGTGAAAGTAGACTAGGAGAGGAAGTTTGTGGTGTGGGTTGGCGTTTCTGGGCAAGAAAAGCCTGGCGGCTACACCTATCTCCGGTGCAATTTCGACGTCTTTAGATTGAACACCGGTGTCGGGATCCACTGATGCAGGAACCACGTCGTTACCCAACAATCTTTCAATTCGACCGTCTTTGTAGACTCGGATGAAGGGCTGAAACTCGTGGACTATTTCTGTTGTACTTGAAGCCATTGCAGAGAGATTTAGGCAGAGCACTTGTTTGTCACCAATGGAGAGAGAGATATATAGAAGAGAGAGAGAGACATGGAGGATGTATTTGGACCATTTTTTGACATTTATTATTATCTCTTTTTTTTTTGGGGGGGTTGGGGGGTGGGGGGGGAGGTGAAGTATTTATTATTATCTCACCAAACTGCAACATTGTCCTCTTACGAATAAATATTAGGTAAATTACACCGTTAGTCTCTTAAGTTTGGCACTTGTTGTACTTTTATCCCTAAAATTTTAATTTTATCAGTTTTATTCTCAATGTTAATATACTAATTGATTTTAGACCTTACCCCTAATGTCCCAAAAAAAAAAAATGACAGAAAAGAGCACAAGAGCCGGCATGTGATTAACCAAACTGCAACATTGTCCACTTATGATTAAATATTATTCAATGGTTGAAATTATTGACATTTTGTATATGTCTTTGTTTGATACACTTAACATAAAGAATATTTATGTAACTTTCATGACATTTCAGCATAATTATTTTTATATATAATTATTTCTTGTGCTTAATGGAAGAATTTAAATCCATTGAAATTAGATCCATGACAGCAGCATGAAGCCATGAACCAAAGGAGCATCGTGATGTAGTCGACCTGGTGGCGATTAGTTGTATGGCTGTTAAATGAACCGGGTAGTTTGCTTTCGACTTATTTTTGACTTGCTCATATTATAAAATGAACTTAATATGAACAAAATTTTAAGCTCGTTTGGTATTCGAGTCAAGCTCGAAGTATTTGTGAGCTAGAACTGAGTTTAAACATTCTTTGAAAAATTCTGGTGTTATTATTTATTTGTATGTTGATGATATGCTTATAATGGATACAAGTCTAGAAGTTGTTACCAATATTAAAAAGTTCTTCATGTCTAAGTTTGACATGAAAGATATGGAGAGACAGATAAAATTTTAGAAATTAAAATTTTGAGAACTCTAAATAGTTTGATGTTGTCTCAAGAACACTATGTGGATAAGATATTTAGAAAATTGAATCATTTTGATCATAAACCCATTTCTACACCTTATGATGCTAGCGTTAAACTAAAGAAAAAAAAAGTGATCATATGTGTCAAAATGATTATGCACAAATAATTGAAAGTTTAATGTATCTTATAAATTGTACACGTCCTGATATTGCATATGTTATTGGTAGATTAAGCAGATACATACATAACTTCAATAAAAAACATTGAAATGTTATATCTAGATTGTTGAAATACTTGACAAAGACTGCTAATTATAGTTCATTATACAATGGATTTCCCATTGTACTAGAAAAGTATAGTAATGCTGATTGAATCTCTAATTCAGATGAGACGAAATCCACAAGTAGGTATATATTCATCCTTGGTGGAGGTGTAGTGTTTTAGAAATCTTCCAAGCAGACATGTATAACTCGGTCTACTATGAAGTCCGAGTTTGTTGCCTTAGAGAAAGCTAGTACCAAGGCTGAATAATTAAGAAATCTCTTAGCGAAAATCCCTTTATGGATGAGACTAATTTCATATGTGTCTATGCATCGTGATTGTCAAGTGTAATAACAAAGGCAAAAAATAAGACCTATAATGGTAAAAATAGACATATACGCTTAAAGTATAATATTGTGAGGCAGTTGTTTAATGATGAGATAATATCCTTAGACTTTGTGAGGTGAGAGATAAATTTGGCTGATTCTCTGACAAAACCACTAGGAAGAAAACTAGTGAATGAGATATCGAGGGGAATGAGACTTATGCCTATACAGAAATTTCAAGTGATGGTAACCTAACTTACATGAATGAAAATCACATGAAATAAGTTCATAAGGGTAATAACAAGTTATTGGGTGATTTGTAACACTATTATAATTTAATCAATATTTAAAATCCATCCTTATGGTATAGATGGTGAATACTATAATAAATAAGGTTGTGTTTATCTCTTAATAAATCCATAGCCTAGATTATATAGTGTATTTAGTTACAGTATAAACTTGATGAATTCACTTATATAGATGTTGGAGTGAAGCTGTTTCCTATGAAAGCTTGGGCAGGTTTTCTAAAACATCTATGCATGTCCTATTCGCATTAACCTGCGATTAACAAACTCGGATAAGAGGGTCTAATGTGGATGACGAGTGTAGTCAGTTTATACTAAAAAAATCTAATTCATAGAAATTTATATTTCACTAAATTTTTGTAAGCTCTGTCTTATTTTTCCTAAGTGATGGTTCATAGTTCAAAAGACACCACCACAATGCATTAGATGTTCGTGTTCCCAAATCAAAGTTATTGTTTTTATATATACTTTGTATTTTGAAATATGTGGGAGATTGTTGTATTTAATTTATATTTCAAAATATAATATATATTTATTTCTAACATATATATATATATATATGTGTGTGTGTGTGTGTATAAAAATCAACAGATCTTCCTCAGCAACACAAACCTGCACCATCCCAGGCTTGGAAGATCCGGATTTTTAGCCAGGTTCAACAACGGGTCATCTGACCCAACAGTTGATGGGTTCCCAAACCGCCACAAGCGATCCACGAATGATTTGTTGGGATAATTTGTTTCATCATCTTCATTACCAATTGGTTCTTCGCCCCAAAAGAATGGATGGTTTAAAACCAATCCAAAAATACTGATACCGTCAAGTTTTTCTACCCCGACCCGGATGGTCATGTTATGTGCTATGTTTCTACCTGCACTATCTCCACCAAAAAACACACGTTCAAAATCAACATAGTCCTTCAGCCATGGCTCCTGGCCGTCTCCTTTGAAATGGGAAACAACCCACTTGATCGGAACCCATGAATCTTCATAAGCAATTGGGAGAGGGTGCTCTGGGGCTAACCTGTAAGCATTAAGGATGTCAATCGAGGTGTGTGTCAGTGTTATTTCTTGGTTAAGTTACTTTAAATTGAGAGAGAGTGCTATCGGGTTAGCCTATAAGTAAATATAGAGATTTCGATACAGTCGTGTTATGTTCTAAAATAATTGATAAAAATTATTTTATTCTAAAACAATTACATCAATCTATATCTATATCTATATTCAATCAAATTAAATTTTAATTTTTGGGCCCCTAATTTTTTTTGTAGACCCAGCTTTAATGAAGTCAAATTTTACTTTTACAAGTTTTACATTAATATAAGATTCATTACATTAATCATAATACTATTTACATCTTAGAACCTATCAAGTATAACAAAACTATGTAATACCATGTATAACAAAATTATGTATTGTTTCTTTTGTATATTATTTTCAACTATTTTGATCAAATTTAAAAGTATGTATTTTAACTTTTCTTTTAAATTTAGTTTTAAAGTATGTATTTTAATTTTTCTTTTAAATTGAATTTGTTAATAGAATCTTTTTGTTGCCGTGACAGCAAAAACATCACTAGAGTGTCTAGTATTTGATATTGAACTTCAAATTTACTCTCTTACTATTTTGTTGATTATAAGTCCTTGAATGAATTTTATAAATCTAAATGATATGCTTAAAAAATTGAATATAGAAATTAAATAGTAAGTTAGCATCTCAAATAGCAAGAAATTTATTTTTAAATAAATATATTTTAATCAAAAAATATTATATATTATCATAATGATCATAATTAATGGGATCTCATCCAAAAATTCGCGTAGGGCCTCCATGTGGCTCAGGTCGACCCTAGGTGTATAGCGATATAGTTTACAGAACTATGACATTGTTTGCTTCTGCAACAAGTGAATTAAGATGATTATAGTACATCGGAGAGAAAAAACTTTGAACGACGAAAGCACCGCCGTGAAAGTAGACTAGGACTGTAAGTTTGTGGTGTGGGTTGGCGTTTGTGGGCAGGTAAAGCCTAGCCCGTACACCGATTTCAGGTGCAATTTCAACGTCTTTTGATTGAAATCCAGTGTCGAGATCTATCGATGCAGGGACGACGTCGTTGCCCTCCATTCTTTCGATTCGACCATCCTTATAGACTCGAAACACGGGGAAGAATTCATTGACTATTTCAGTAGCACTTGAAGCCATTGCAGAGAAAATGAAGAGACAAAAACAGGGCCGGCCCAACAACTTAAAAAATAAAGCCCAACCGTTTGGTCCCAAATTTTAAAAAAGTTCATAATTTTAGGGGTTCTTTGGAAGTCGGTACACCTAATTAAACTTATTTGGTAAAAAGTACATAGAACAAAATATGAGTTAAAAAGTTATAAATGCCCATTTTAGAGTCATTTAATTCAAAATCTCTTATCTTTAATGAACCTTGATTCATGTGTGTTTGATAATACATATAAATACGTATTTAATGCACCTTGATTCATATGTATTTGTTAATATATATATATACACACACACACACACACACACACACATATATATATATATATGTATATATACGTGTATACTTGTTTATATATATATATGTGTGTGTGTGAATTTAAAAGATGGAACAGATAAAGATTTCAAAGTGAGTTAGATGACTCAAATGAAATTGCAGAGGTAATACACCAGGCCGACAAATGGCTTTGATACCAAATACAGACATGTGCGGAATTTATAGGAATAAAGAAGAATATGGAACAGATATGAAAATATACAAAATATTCAAATAAAGAAAATAAATACTTACAACACTAGAACTAATGGTCTAGTGGAAATAAGTGGTAATAAGGGAGCTCTTCTTTTGCATCATGAAGAAGGCTTACAAGTGAGGGTAGGATTACAAGTATTAGGGGCTTGTAATTTCTTTGAAACCAGACTAGAGAGGGTCTGAGGTTTTCAAAGCTTGGTTTGTTGAGAAGAGGGAGCTGCCTTATATAGAGGTAAGGGACTCCGGATTCTTCGTTTGTAATCATTATGCTTTTTCTTTTACTCAGGGTAGAATAATTCACTTTTTGCTTTCGGCTGAAAAGTGGAGTAAGATTCTTTTACCCGGGTAACTAGGACATGCAAAAGGGACTAGTGGGTCCTGCTTGTCTGTCCTGAGAATCCATCTTTCGGTAGAAAAACAGATTGCGGGCCCTGCTTTTGTCTGAGAATCCTGCTTTTTAGAGAAAAAGAGATCCTATGCAGACTGGTGATATTATCTTTACACAGAGTGGACAGCTTTTCTTTTCTTTTTGAAAAGTAGTGATTGAAACCACTTTATGTAAATAATAATTCACGGGAGTGCAAGGTCAGAGGTGAGGTCATCAACATCATCAAAGTCTTCAATTCCTTTATAAGGATCCTGAGCATATCCTGCTGGGAGTTCTGCTGAGGAAGACCCTTGGGAAGACGATGAGTCACTGTCTGAGTCAAGTTGTTCCAAGAGCTTCTTAAGGAGCTTTGCCTTGGACTTCTTCTTGCTGGACTTCTTTTGGGAACCTTTAGATGAAGATTCCTCTGGCTGAGCTTTTTTGATAGGAAGGTTAGCCTGGCTTGATTGAGCGGGTCGTTCCTTCATTGGTGTTGCTGGTTGTAAGGGACCTGGAACTACTGCTGGAGTTGGTACCCTTACAGGGAAGTCTTGTTTCACCATTGTGATAATGTCACCATGTTGAAACCTGGGCCACCATTTGGCATAGAATTGTCGGGTTAAATTGAATCCCACAATTTCCCATTGCCATTTGAGTATCCACGGGACTTTGTACCTGCAAAGAAATATTAGTAATAAGGGTAATGGGGACTCCTGTTTACTAGGACGGTAAAGGGAGTAAAAGATGTTAATCTGATCTTTAAGATCAGCTGGAAAGATTTCATCAATGGGACCATGTTGATGCCACCACTGATTAAACCATGCAGGAATATGGCTTTTGAAATCTTTATGAAAATTTAAGAACCAGGAATGGGTCAAATCCTCATTCTGGAAGAGTAATATTTTTGACCATGACTCAATATAGTCATAGTAATTAAACTGTCTGGTGTGAAAAGGAAGTTCTCGGAGCAAAGAAGGGTGAGAACCCCATTCCTCAACAGAAATGATTTTGGTAATATACAAGCTATGATAGATAACCTTATTCGGGTTTATCTTATCATAAATGGGCTTGGTAAAGATGGATTTAGTATAGTAGAGAATATCTTGGTAGAAACTATGAGGTTTCTCCAAATCTACTGGAATATAAGTCTATCCTGTTGGGAGATAGGCTTTCACAAGGTCTTTTGGATCCTTGTATTTAGAATGGGCTAATTCAATGGCTAGGACATTCTGGGAATAGGCTTTGACATAATCAACCTTTGGGCCTAATTGGGCTACAAAAGGTTGTGAGGCCTTGTAGGGGTTTGTCATGGCACTAGTGGTCCTGACAGGTGGTTGTTGGGCCATTTGGGTAAAGGTTAATGGGTTAATAGTGGTAGATACGGCTACTGGCCGGATAACCAAAGCAGATTGGGCTGCTGGCCTACTGGGCTGAGCAGTTTCTAATAAAAATCTGTTTGACAATGCTACTGGCAAGTCAGGTTCAGATTTGGGTTGTTTATCCTTTTTCCCCCCTGAATTTTTGGAGGAGGTTCGGGAAGTACTAGGTTTCCTGTCCGCCATGAGGTTCCTGCAAAAATTCTCTAGTTAGGAAATCAGGAATATAATTATGTTCTCCTTTGATATATTCTATATCAAAATCGAAAATACTTAAAATAGATTGCCATCTAGCAAAAATTTGCTTAGCAGCTATATTTTTGACATCTTTGGTTAAAACATCCTTGGCTGATTTACAGTCAACCCGCACAAGGAATTTTTGATTCAATATATCATCCTGGAATTTAGAGATACACAGGACAATAGATAAAATCTCTTTTTTAATAGTGGAATAATTCTTTTGGGTTTTATTCCAAATACCAGAATGGAACCGAACAATTTGTTCAGGAGAATTAGGAGATTCTCTCTGAAGGAGGATTCCACCATAACCAATATCAGAGGCATCAGTCTGGATGATTTTGAAAGAATCAACGGACGGAATACCAAGACAGGGAAGAGTTTTGATGAACTTCTTGACCTGTTGAACAATAGAGGTATGAACAGTGGTCCAAGGAGAAGGATTTCCTTTGAGCCTGTCATACAGAGGTTTGATGGTTTTCCTAAGATCCTGATAAAAGTCAGAAACATAATTTAGGGAACCTAAAAACCTTTGTAATTGAGTTTTGTCTAAGATTTCATCGGAAAATTTATCTGCAAATTGGATGGCTCTACTAATAGGAGTGATAGTAGAATCCTGAATATTGTATCCTAAAAACCTTACTGAGGTTTGGAACAATTTAATCTTAGATGCAGATAACATTAATCCATTTTGTTTGACAATTGTATGAAAAGCATAAAGGTGCTTCCAGTGTTCTTTTATTGTTCTGGAGAAGATGAGTATATCATCTATATAGACAATAGAAAAATGACTGATACAATTGAAGACTTCATTCATTATGTTCTGGAATTCACTTGGGGCATTTTTTAACCCAAAGGGCATGACATTCCATTCATAATGTCCGAAGGGAGTAGTAAAAGCGGTCTTATACCTGTCCATAGGGTGGATCTGTATTTGCCAAAAACCACTTTTCAGATCAAATTTGGAAAAGATAGTAGACTTATTGAGTCTTTTTATCAAATCCTGTTTGTTAGGTATAGGGTACCTAATCCATTCTAAAACCTTGTTTAAATGTTTATAGTTTATGACTAACCTTGGAACTCCTCTTTCTAATTCTGCATTTTTGACTACATAGAAAGCAGGACAAGACTAAGGTGACTTACTATTCCTGATGATACCATTTTTAAGTAACTCTGAGATTTCTTTTTTACAGATCTCAGTAGTTTCATGGTTCATTTGGATGGGTCTGGATTTAGTAGGAATATTGTTTTCACTAAATCCTTTAATATATGGAAGTCTGACCATGTGCTTCTTCCTATGCCAGAATGCTGTAGGAAGGGAGGAACAAACTTCTGACTCTAAGTTTTCCCTAAACCTATCGATCTTTTGTTGTAAGATTGGATTTGTTAGGTTTTCTTTAGTTCTGAGGTGGTTAATCTCTTGTTTAAGAAATTCCACTTGTTTAATTTTTCTGTTAATAACATTAAGGGACTGTGAGACAGAAATGTCTTTTAGCTGCCTTAAATGTTTTTTCTCAGGTTTGGTAATAAATGTAAATACAATTTTCCTTCCAAAATGCTTGGTTGATATTCCATCTGTATTTGTACTAAAAGAGTACAAAAGGTAGATAAATGGAAGACCAAGAATAACAGCATCAGTCATGTTTCTAACAAGAAGGAAGGATGTTTCAAAACATACATCTTGTTGACATACATGAACTCTAGGAAGTTTGTATTTAACATTCATTTTACTGCCATTGGCAGAACTAATTCTTTCCAATGTTTTTTCATAAAACATGGTTGGAATTAATCCTTCTTGGATGCAGTTAACATCTGCTCCAGTGTCCAATAGGGCAATAACAGTAATATGAAAACTGTTGTTAATAATTAATTTTACTTCAACATGCCATTTTTGGACAGTTAAAGAATTAATTAGACTAATTCTTTTGTCATTAGAAGTGGCTCCTTCTTGGAATGAAGGCAGGTTCGTTACACCAGAAGTTTCCGTCTGAAAGGAGGAGGTTACTGGTATCCCCTGTGTGTAATCTTGATGATCAAAAGGATTAATAAAATCTGCAGTCTGATCTTCTGGATCAGAATCCTGGGATTTTTCAGAATATTTTTCTGTTTGTAAAAGAGTTAAAGCTTCAGCAAATTTCTTGTCTTGAGCTTTTAAATCTTTTATCTCTATTTTAAGTTTATTAACTTCACTTTGGAGATCTTGTAAGGTGATTTCTTTTTTCTTTTCCTTACTAAATCTTTCATAGTTTTGTTAAGGCTTATCAATTGTTTTTCTATAATAGGTTGCTTATTATCCTTTTTACTGAAAAGGTTTCTAAGCTGTTTGACATACTTATCTTTTAGATCTGGATCTTCTATCTTGGAGATCAAGTCTATAAGTATATGTTCTTCATTTTGCTTAGTGATTACTCTGACTTGTTTTTGACAAGAGCATCCTATTTTAATTCTAGGATTATCAGGG